CGAGAGTATAAAATGTTCGGTGACACCCGAACTTAGCCCTTCCTTACTTGTTATTTTTAACAAGCATCATCGGACTAGCAAAAGGTGAACAGCTGGGACGAATAACATTAAATTTCAGGAGCTCATCAAGTTTATAACGTACGTGCCTCTCTTCACTAAGTCTATATGGTCGGCGCTGTACTGTCTTTTGTCTGTGTGTGGTATTCCCCCAATAAACCAATCAGAGTAGCGTTTTAGAATGTTTTTTAAGGCCCTTTTATCAGAGTTACTCAGGTCGCCATCGGAATCTACAAGCTTTTCATAATCTGTAAAAGTTACCACATAAACTCTTTTACTTTTGTAAATACTGAATTTTTTAGCGTCTATTGTTATACTAAAGCCCTGTCTTAATATTTCACGACCAATCAAAACATCATATGTTAGGTATTTATCCATTACAACGTGAAATAAAATCTCAAGACAATACTGTTCAATGTTTATATTGGAAAGAATTTGTAAAGAACTACAGATGGAATCGTTAGTTTTACAATATTGTTAAATCGTTTTCCCTTAAATTTGTCTGCAACACTTTCCTTCACCAAGGAACACTCGGCTCCATAGTCAAAGCAAAATGGAACGGACTCGCCTGACAAATTAATTATAACCTTTGGCGCGGCAACAGTACAAATGTCCACACGCTTTTCATATTTCTGCTCGTTCCCGCTGGTCCGGATTTTAGGACATGAAGTACCGAAATGTCCGATTTCGCTGCACGTGAAGCATAGTATACTGGATCGATTTTTCACTCCATTGCTGCTCCCCTTGTGAGTGTTTCCTTTTGCGTTCTTTCCCCTTTGCCGGCATTTGCAATTTTATGGCCAATCTTTCCGCATTGGTGACATTTAATTTGGATTTCCAACTTCTTCCGCTCTGGGCCAATTGCATCGTCCTCCGTATTACGCTTTTTAAAAGTGTGAGCCTGCAGTTGTTGTTGTAGCTCGTTTCGGCTTGTTACGTTGGTGGTATATACTCATAGCAACAAACTGTTATCGATTTGCGCCATTTTTGCCAACGCTACCGACACTGCGATTTCCTCCAAGTCTTTATTTTTCCACTTGGACAGGAGTGACGTAACAATTCGGCTACCATATTCTGCAAACCCTTCTCCATATTTAGGATGACCATTTATAACGTTCAATAAAATTGCTGTTGTGGTCTCGACTCCCACGAAGCGTTGAATAAATAACTCTTTAAATTGAGTCTAGGTTATGCCTGCGAAGCATATTTGTGATAACCATTGAGATGCGCTGCTGTCTAGCGCCTTACTTAACGCTATCACAAGTGCGCCGCCTTCGAGAGTATTTTCCTCAAAAATAAGGTCCACCGTTGTACACCATGCAGAGGCATCCGCTCCAGCGCAATCGGGATTGAATTTTGGCAAAGCAACGTGGACAGGCCTTGCGTCTGTTATCGGTCTTGGTATCTGCATGGACTTGATTATGTCCATTAGATTCCGGTTCTGTACTTCCAACGCTGCGAGGATTTGGCACGATTCTTGGCTTGCCGATCCCATTTCTGATGTAGAATATTTACTTGTAGAAGTCTCCATATCACTTCACTTCACACTATTACACCTCACATTTCACACTTTATTCAATAACTTCACTTGTTATTTTTATTTTTACGAGCACAGCGAGTTCGGCTCCCATCAAGATCACCTCTTGAACTGACTCTGCGAGGACATAGCGCCTAATTATATACGCACCCTTTCATTGCTCTAAAAGTAGCTAACGGTTCCTGAGTCTCTTCACTCTGTTCGCAGAATACGATCAGACCTCACTCAGTAACAGTTTCTCTAGTCCTGTTACTATACTTATTTGCGCATTTACATTCTATAGTACCGTAATATATGCCGCCAATGCGTCGCCTACTTCAAATAACGTTGTGGCATATACAGTTACCTACAAAATATTAGCACTACAACATACGCATTTACAGTGGCATACAAAATACAAGCATAAGCGCTCCGACATATATATATTCTTGATATGGAGGACCTCCTATTTCCGTACATACCCATAAGGGATAATGGGATACCCAACTTATTCCAGTGTGAGAGCGCCTCAAAATAAGCGTTTTTTATAACATTTTCCATTATGACCAGATCGAACAAAATAAAAATTTTTGGGCATTTAATTTAAAACACCCAACATTTATTACGATTGCAAATTATTATATATTGGACTTTTAATATATGGCGAAACTACTTAATTCCTTTTTTATGATTTTATGGTATATYRAAACAACTGACTTTCGATATTTCAATACTTAATAAGGTGAATTAAGCCTGTTAGTTCTAAATTAATAAATGTTTTTAATCATTTGTAATAGAAACTTAATTCTACTATGCATCAAATTACAAAACGTTTCATAATATATATTTAAATTTCGCATTTTCTTTGATTTTCATTATTTTAAATTTTTATTAGCGATCTTGAACGGCGGCAATAAATTCCTCCGTTCACATATATTTTTGATATAATTTCAATCTGGCCGTTCCAGTCATTTCAATTGCAAAACGTCAAAACCTACTCAATCCAGTCAACTGTCAAAGTTCGGTATGTTTTGACGTTTAGCAATTGCTCTCTCACTTCCAGTGAATTGGTAATCACATTATCTTGATACCCATTATAACACCGAAATCCGGGGATGCTATTCTAAATCGCAGGCTAATAGATTTTTGTTTTTTATGGTAAAAAAAATTTTGGAGATTGTATAAATTCATCGAACCACCTCTACTTAAAAGTATTATTGTACTTTCTTAAACTTAATTTCTTAAAGTGCGTAAGCTGTAAGAAATAATGTCAGAAACGTAAAATTTCGAACACCTATTTTCATATTATCTCCTATTACGCTTTTCAAACCTTCAGCTGACATAATGCAGATATGTGTGGAATTTTCGTTTAAGTAAGGAATGTTTTTTTTACTCAATGGGATAAAAACATTACATTAAATTCTTATTTTGATGTGTTGTTGTAGCGGTTTTCTAGTCATCGCTTGATGCGAAGTATGCGGGCCTCGCTGCGCAAATGAGAGACATCCTTTACTTTGGCACGCCTCAAGCTTTCTCGTGTCACTATATCTAGACGACCATATTGGTGCGACATAGTTTATGACCGACCGGCCCATTGAATTGTTTGTTACTAACAGCGTTTCTCTATCTTTTTCCCGGGTAGCGACTTGAGCATTTTGTTGCGACTGAGTATTTTGGCAGTCTGCTGTCCAATGTAACATCTAACTCCTTAGATCTTAATCTGAGATGTTAATATCCAGTCTGTACTCCTTCGTACAGTTCGTGAATATGGTCGCTGTGGATTTAGAGTGTCGAGTTCCTATAAATTTGTTACAGATTGGAGACGGATGGACGCACAGACAGTCAACCGGATTTCAGCAGGTTGCAAGAATATAAAATTAAACGATCTCCTCTTCTATAATGTTTGTGTCTCATTATTTCATATTTAATAAAAACTAATATTCCGCTACATATTATCTTTTTTTCGAACGCAGTTAAATATTGAAATCTAGTTTATAACATTTTCAATCTTTTTAGGGTGCGAGAAATGTATGAAGGAGTTAGAGATGTAATGAAGCGGTATCGAAGTGGAAAAGTGCCGAAAGCATTTAAAATTATTCCAAGACTACGAAATTGGGAGCAGATTTTATTTATAACGGAACCGCATAATTGGAGTGCTGCAGCTATGTTTCAAGGAACTCGGTATGTACATCTACAAATGTGTAAAAGTGTGTACGAAAATATATATTTGCGTTTTAATTTATTTTTACCACATTTAAATATCTTTCGAAAAAAGTCAATAGTTAACTTAAAAATATATAGCCATAAACACATACAATATACCATACGGATTTATTCATCACTCAGCACTCAGCAACAATGTTGTCGCCAAATTCCCCGATTTTTAAAACATCTACTCTTCCATTCAATTCTTTCAATTTAATGAGGCTTCAGCACGACAATTAAAAAAACATGCACATTTTATCAAGGCCTGTTTTGGGAAACTGAAGCTTGGGAAAGTTTTGCATTGATTGATGAAAATTTCCAAGGTAACTATAAATCACCAAAATATGACGAAATTCTGAAAAATATGAAAAAAATTCCAGACTCGAGAAGCAAATATGAGTTACCAACTTAGACTTAGTCTAAGTCAGACTGCAACCACCTGTTAATATTTTTGGTATAAAGTACGAAATTATAGAGTGAAACATAGAGAGAGGTGGTCCAAAAGTAAGGGAAGTAAGGTATTAATGTCAATGGGATCGTCACATGATGGTAGATTAGTGTTAGTCATAAATTGATTGGCAACTAAAAATGTGTAAAAGAAATGTTCATTAAAGCATAAATGGGCAAAATATGTAGTACAAAAGAATGCGCCCATTTTCACCGAAGAGAAGGCTCTAGTTGGCATAAGCTAAAACGTGATGCTAAAACATCGAGACTCGATGGGAGTAGCACATCTACATAGATCATCAATCTGTCGTTTATCACTCTTTATATACGCGGTATTTGGAAAGTCAGAAGAGTGGTCAAAGTACTGAAAGCCTACTAACCAAGGGGAGTCTGATCTTGTGAAGACACTTGGGGCTTGTTACTCCAGACTTACACTCACCCTCTTAACTTACACTCACCCTCTTAACTTAGTAGGTCCTAAATATGGTTTCCGTAAAGTGCACAGAATCACTACAGGACTTAACATCGTGCCCAGTTAACTTGTGGTAAAAAAAAAAAATCAAGAACCACCCTGTGAAAGGATGAAAAGATATGACGGAATATCAACTTTTAATATCGATCGAGCTATTTCATGTGCATCGTCTATCATTGCAATCGCATTGCTGACTATAATGCCAAAGATCGTGTGGCGTCTTATAGACACTTAGTACCAAACGAATTTCTTGACAAACGCTATCTCTATTGATGATAGATATTTAGTTTGGTTTTTTGGGCCGCAGTAATCGATGTGCTTTATTGAAACGTTTCTGTGGGTGCTCAAAGATTAAATATTTCTTTGTAGCTTAAAACCTAAAATTGTTTAAGGGAATAGTCCTTTCAAAGTCAAAATAAATATCTGTACAAGTTTTGTTCGTGTGTTTGTTACTGTATTCTGAAAATTGTTTAACACTGTTAGCATTCAAATATTCGTAAACCGCCTCATCTCCATTGGCTGCCAAACAGCTTTTTGAACTTTTATTTGCGAGTATAAACATAAAATATGTAAACATAAGTACTTAATCAACGAAACGCATATATACTTATGTAAACACTTATTTATGGAGTTACAATTTTGAACAGTATTACTATTTAACATTTCAGTATATTTTGTTCAGTTCTCTCGCACGCAATGGCTCAGCGGTTTTATAATTTGGTTTTGTTGCCGCGCATTAGAGACGATCTTTGCGAATATAAAAAACTTAATATGCATTTGTACAATGCTTTAAAAAAAGCACTATTCAAACCAGCTGCTTTTATGAAAGGTATAATACTTCCTTTGTTAGAGGCTGGAGATTGCACTTTGCGAGAATCAATTATATTTGGAAGCGTCATCGCACGCAGTTCGATTCCCGTATTGCATTCGTCAGCATGTTTACTCAAAATATGTGAAATGGGATATACAGGAGCAAATTCAATATTTATTCGCTACTTCCTTGACAAACGTTATGCATTACCTTACCGTGTTATCGATGCCGCCGTTTTTCATTTTATTAGGTAAGACCTTACATTGTTTCTCATTATCTATAATACATTTTTATGAATATATGCATGCAGATTTGAAAATGATAAACGTGAAATGCCTGTATTGTGGCATCAAAGCTTATTAACGTTTGCACAACGTTATAAGAACGACATTTCTTCCGAGCAAAAAGAAGCTTTGCTTAATTTATTAAGGTAAACAACATTGTTGCTCGTTCAATCCATTTTCTTATATTTCAATTTTATTATTACAGAAAGCAATCACACCCAAAGATTACACCTGAAATTCGAAGAGAACTTTTGGCATCAAGTTGTAGAGATATTGAAATGATGGAATATAGCAACGAGACTGCTGCAATGCCAGTAGAAATGTACACTGATAAAGATGTTTGCTATGAATAAACATGTTCAACGTATAGCATGTAAATGTGATTCTGTATTTATTGCTAGTTATCAATAATTAACCAAGATTTCTAGAAAAGCTTTTATTTATCTAAAAACTAGAAAAAGAGAAGAAATGAGAGAGTTAAAAGCAGAGGAGTTGTTAAGGGATTGTATCAGTGTGAAATTTTCGAAAAATGGATATTATTATTCTATTTATATTATACCTTATCGGATACTATGCATTGAAGTAAACATTCTCTCATATTTTGAAAACGAAATAAAAATTATTACAGTCACTACAACGTTTCATGTAGAAACGGAACAGAGTGGAGAACATACCGACTCCAATCTATAAACGCTCTTTTTCTCAGAAAAGTGGTTTTCAAAACGGTTTCCACTATCAAAGGAAGGTTTTTTGAACATATCTAGTTCCAATTTGGAGAGAACATTTCTTTTATCGTCATTCTCTATAGCGCTATGGAAGGTTTTTTTTACGAAAAACTGTAGAAAATAAGGGAATAAGGAAATAATCGAAACTTTTTGTTCAAACAGATTAATAAACTTTTTGAAATGTTTGTTTCAAATCAAAATTGCGGCCGCAATCATGGACATTGTACAATACTTTTTTTTACGTGTAATTTCAATACTTTATTTAACTATTATGCACTCAATGAATAGATTTAAAAAATATTTTTTTGTATTCGTCATGAATGTATTTATATAAAAAAAATCTAACCGATTAGTTATTTCTAACTTAAAAAGAAATAATCGCGAAAATCCGTGATTTTTCGAAGAGTCACACTGAAACGATCCTTTGAGTTCTAGTAAAGAAATTTTTACTAACCGAAATTAGTTGCTGTCATAAGAAAACATACCTTGATTTCATTAATTTCTAATAGTTTTGAATTGTTAAGATACAAATCAGATATTAGTTAAATAACTACAACTGCACAAAATGTTAGTGTTTGGACTTATTAGAATTCGAAGTAAATGGTAACATAATGAATATGCATACATAATATTAATTATTATATTATTCTTTTTTATTATAAAAATTAATTCGTTGGCTTCTTTCAGTCGTTTGCATTAGCTCAAAATATTATATATCTTAGGGAACAAATTATTTCAAATTCTATTGGTAAATTCAAGCAACAACATAGTGTGGTTGTACTCAGATTTTCCTTCCTAATTTCAGCTAGTTTTCCGGTTATTACTTTGTCACTGGTTTGCTTTTTGTGAAAATAACTGAACAATTTTCGAATTCTTCCTGATAGATGGCAGTTACTATTAATACCGAAACACATTTTGTACTTTAATAACATTTGTAATATGCAAGCTATACAAAAAATAAAGTCGTATAATATTTTTGAAATTACTAACAAGTTTTTAATTTAAATTCATTAATATATCTTAAAATATATTGAAATTGCGTTTAATTTTATCTGCTTGAATTTGATGAAATCAACGTGATCAAACGTAAGCGTAGTTGTAGTCTATTCGTCAATTTTCATGCTGTGACGTAAAGACACAAATATAAATACATATGTGCATGTAATATAGGATTTCACACTCATTGTCCAATTTTACAATGCTTATTTTGAAACCCTTCGATTCCATCTTTGTTGTAATGTTGTTTATGTTGTTGAGAAAATTTGCTCTGGGCATATACATTAGGGTGGGTCGATTCCAGACTTTTTTCGATTCGGGATTTCTAATAGTGCGGAAAAGTTGCCTTAGTACTTCCTGATTCAAATGCAACTTTTTGTTTTGAGATCGGATTGCATCTTCAACCCCAACTCTGGCCTTGAAATTTCGGAAATTCGCCTAAAATCGTGAAATTGTCTACGTATATGTGATCATGTCTATGGTTTATGTGATCATGGCCGTAGGACGAACCGTTCCCGAGATACGAGCGAAAATGCGGCGCGCCGACGTTGATTTCACCGATTGCTATCAATTATATTCTCTCAACAGAACACAGAACTCAAAATGTCTGTATCCAAATTTAAATTTAGACAGAAATGTCCTGTGGCATATATCCGTACAATCTCTCTGAGTCCCAGTTACCTACTTACCAGGATGTTCTTTTGTGTTATCAGTTTGAAAGATTTCGTATAGGGCGATTGGTCGCATTGGAAGTGTTGATCTACCTGAAACAAAAAAGATTACAAAGAAAAATGAAAGTAAAGAAAGCTTTCAAACAACATCTACACTTACCAGATAAGTATCAGCTAGAACACGTGACCATTCAGATCAGCCAGACTCTCATACAGACGACAACAATGTAGGTGCGTCGCACATGGATTCTTCCAAAAACGATGCTGATGATGAATTTTCCGCAAAGACAATACACTTACACAAGTCAGCGATGGTGAAAAGTACTACCGCGACACTGTCAAAGAGGAACATATTTCTCTTATAGCGGAACCTAGTTGTCATTACTTTGGCCACGTCACCTCTCCATCCGGGCCAGCTGAGGATGAGACTCAAGCTATATGGCAACATTTACAAGACAATTCAGTTGATGTGGAACATCTAGAAGTTGTCGGTGCTGATGGCACCAACACGAACACAGGTTGGAAAGGTGGAATCATTCGGAAACTAGAAGAAAGAATAGGTAGGCCATTACAGTGGGTTGTTTGTCTTCTACATTTCAACGAACTTCCATTTCGTGCTCTTTTCGAACACATAGATGGTGTCTCAAAGAGTCCAAATACATTCTCTGGCGACATAGGTAAACTGCTCCCTGGTTGTGAGAAGTTGCCTGTTGTCAAATTTGAAAGTTTTCCATCCTGCCAATTACCTTCTGAGGTTATTAATCCGACCCAACTTAGCACAGACCAAGCTTATCTCTGTCTCTTATACACATCTAGATGTGTATAAGAGACAGCCTTTATGGTTCTCAATAAGATTCAACAGTTCAATCAAAGATGGCTCTATGCTGCAATTCAAAGGTGAACATACTTACCTGCTAAACTGCGCAAGGTTGTCGATTCATCCATTCAACAGAATGCTTTCTTTGCTCTTCCAGAAAACATTCTCCTTAGTATGATGACTGACGAACGGATAGAAGTCAGAAAGTTGGCCCTTGACCGTCTTCTGTCGGAATCGACCCACCCTAATATACATATCTTTAATGGTTTGTGAAATAAGTATATGAAACCTATATGAACGGCGTTTGAAAAATACTTTTTTTGGAAGTCTATAAGTAGGCCTCTGCAGTTACCTTGTCATACATAAAAATGAGCTGGGAGTGGCTTTTAAATTTTAAAATAAGAAGTCGTACGGGACCAAATCTAGATGGAAGTATTAAGGATTGGCCTAAAAGGGCGTCAAACTGGTTTTCAAGTATGTTCATCTTCAGTATAATATGTCTAAAGCTATGAAAAAGCGAGGACTGTCTACTGACAAATGCTGAAAACATTAAGTTTTAACTCTATATCTCTTTCGGTTGGTCTCTGTAAAAATGTCACCTCCACATCAGAAGCAGCTAGGCTGCATAAGTCACTGTTCAGCTGCAATACTAGCGATCAAAAGAAGCGACGGAACGCATATGATCAGCGCGGAAAATAGAGCTAGCGCGCTTCCCGCAAACAATTTGGGAAGACCAGTCTACTGTCCTTCATTGTTCGGCTGATGAGGGATAGCCCCGTAATGGCGTACATCCCTGAACTAAGGAGGACCGCGAAGGTGATCTTTATACCCAAAGTAACAAGGGAAGGCCAATTCACTGGCAAAATCCTTCAGACCAATTAGTCTAACTTTCTGGAAAGTATGGAAAAGATCGTAGATCATGAAATCAAGTCGAAGGCGCTGAAAATTGCACCCCTGCATGCGCATCAGCATGCTTCAGAGCAGTCAGATCAACCGATATTGCTCTGTACCAGCTAGCGTCGGATAATTTTGGAAAAAAGCTAACTTCGGAGATAGAGACTTCGCTGGAAGGTGGGGAAGTGATTCTCTGCGCCTTCCTAGACATCGAAGGCGCTTTTGATAACACGCTTCACAGGAGCATAGCCAGGACACTGGAGGATTGGAATGTGGAAGCACCGTTGCACAGATGGAAAGAGGCCGCACTGCGCATCAGAATAGCTGAAACCACAGTAGGATATACAAGGATTCGTCTTCGCACAACGACTGTCCACTAGGGGGAGTGCTATCCCCCTTCAACGGAGTTTTGTCATGGACGACTCTCTAGCATCGCTAACTGACAATGAGATCCGATACCAAGGTTACGCGATCGATTGTTATTACCAGAGGTAAATTTGAGAACACTTTCTGTGACCTACTAAAAAGAGGTTTAAGCCTGGCAAAAGGGTGCTGTAGTAGGATTGAGTTGAACATCAACTTCTCTAAGACTACCATCATCCCGTTCACGAGATGAGGCCTCTCTCCGGTTTCAGGAAGCTTACACTTGGGGACAAAGAGATAGAGATAACTAACATGGTCAAATATCTTAGTCTCACATTGGTTTCCACTCTGAGGTGGAAGCAGCATTTCGACCTGATCTTAGTCAAGGTGGCAAAAGCACTAATGGCGTGCAATCGGTTGGCGGGAAAATCCTGGGGCTGCAAACCAAGGATTGTTAGGGCGTTGTACATGATCTTGCAACCGATAATCAAGTATGGAGCGGTGGCCTTGGTCTCAATAGCTTCGCAGACTTCGGTAGGGCTCCAACTATCGAAGCTGCAACGACTAGCATGTCCGATGGAATGCGCTCTTGTCCGACGGCCGCACTTGAAGTCATGCTAGAGCTCATACCGCTTCATCTAGTGATCGGTCAGGTAACCAAGCACAAACTTCTAGAGATGGCGGCAGAAGGGTGTGGCAAAGTAAGATAATCTGGTCCCAGAGGGCGAAAGAGCGAAGTGGTACTATACTTCACGAAGAAGTTCAAGGTTACCATTGGCAGCAAGGCTGAATGGAATGATTCTACTCTCGAGCTACTGCTTAGAGAAAGTACGATTAGGTGGTACTCTGACGGCTCGAAAACGTTGGATGGAATCGGTGCAGGAGTCACAGGACCACTCACCGAGCTTTCAATACCTATGGGAAGTTTTCCGAGCATCTTTCAGGCAGCAGAAGTCCTTGCCATAAAGCGGCACTGATAGCAGTCTTTTCCCACGAGATCAAATTGCTATTGGTGTAGTAGATTAGATACCGGCTAGCCTAGAGGAACATTTGGATAATTTGGTCTTAAAAATATTTAAATTTTTTTATAAAACATTATCCGTTCACACTTTAGTATTGTTTATTGATAGTCTTTGAATAGAAGGTTACGATAACTTCCAGTGCGACAAACTGGAAAAAAAAAATTACGAATTCTATTACTGCTTTTTCTACTTTACCTTTATATGATATATCTTTATGTAGTGATACAATTTTAAAATATAAATAGGGAATCTAGAAAACGTCTAATTTTAAGTAATTAGCTTATTCCAAATGTATTTGGGTGAATGCACTTTGAAGTTTTATAAGAAAGGGTCCGTCACTCGAAGTGTGACCAACTTCAGACCGTTTGCCCAGCTGTCGCACTGGAATCAGCTGTTTATAAATTTTCCGAATGACAGTTCGGAGTATTGTTCATAAGTGTACAAAAGCTTTTTGCC